ATGTGGCCGGGTACCTGGCAAGAGAACGGGGGTCAGTTTTCGATTTTTCCAGATGGTAGTTAATATCTCGAATCTAGCGCCACAAGGAATAATTTAGATTTACCTCCACCCCTCAAACACTGGCACTTTATTTTTCAAGAATTTTGTCTTGTTTATTAATAAATCTTTAATTAAACTTATTTCCTCTGATTCTGTTTTATTTACATCTTTATTTTTTTAACTTTTTGATACTTCTTCATTTTCCTCTTCTCCATATTCTCCTTCTTCATATCCCTCTTTCTTCTTCTTCTTCTTCTTCTTCTTCTTCTTCTTCATCATCATCATCATCATCACCCTATTCCGTCTCCTGTACTTTTTCTTCATCTTTCCCTTATTAGGTGAAAGTGTGAACCTTCTTCTTCTTCTTCTTCTTCATCATCTTCTTCTTCTTCTTCTTCTTCTTCTTCATCATCATCCTATTCCGTCTCCTGTACTTTTTCTTCATCTTTCCCTTATTAGATGAAAGTGTGAACCTTCTTCTTCTTCTTTCAATCATCATCATCATCACCCTATTCCGTCTCCTTCTTTTTTCTTCATCTTACCCTTATTAGGTGAAAGTGTGAACATCTTCTTCTTCTTCTTCATCATCATCATCATCCCCTATTCCGTCTCCTGTACTTTTTTTTTCATCTTACCCTTATTAGTGAAAGTGTGAACCTTCTTTCTTCTTCTTCTTCATCATCATCATCATCACCCTATTCCGTCTCCTGTACTTTTTCTTCATCTTTCCCTTATTAGGTGAAAGTGTGAACCTTCTTCTTCTTCTTCTTCTTCTTCTTCTTCTTCTTCTTCTTCATCATCATCATCATCACCCTATTCCGTCTCCTGTACTTTTTCTTCATCTTTCCCTTATTAGATGAAAGTGTGAACCTTCTTCTTCTTCTTCTTCTTCATCATCATCATCACCCTATTCCGTCTCCTGTACTTTTTCTTCATCTTACCCTTATTAGGTGAAAGTGTGAACCTTCTTCTTCTTCTTCTTCTTCTTCTTCATCATCATCATCATCACCCTATTCCGTCTCCTGTACTTTTTCTTCATCTTTCCCTTATTAGGTGAAAGTGTGAACCTTCTTCTTCTTCTTCTTCTTCTTCTTCTTCTTCTTCATCATCATCATCATCACCCTATTCCGTCTCCTGTACTTTTCTTCATCTTTCCCTTTATTAGATGAAAGTGTGAACCTTCTTCTTCTTCTTCTTCATCATCATCATCACCCTATTCCGTCTCCTGTACTTTTTCTTCATCTTACCCTTATTAGGTGAAAGTGTGAACCTTCTTCTTCTTCTTCTTCTTCATCATCATCATCATCACCCTATTCCGTCTCCTGTACTTTTTCTTCATCTTACCCTTATTAGGTGAAAGTGTGAACCTTCTTCTTCTTCTTCTTCTTCATCATCATCATCACCCTATTCCGTCTCCTGTACTTTTCTTCATCTTACCCTTATTAGTGAAAGTGTGAGACCTTCTTCTTCTTCTTCTTCTTCATCATCATCATCCCCTATTCCGTCTCCTGTACTTTTTCTTCATCTTTCCCTTATTAGATGAAAGTGTGAACTTCTTCTTCTTCTTCTTCTTCATCATCATCATCATCACCCTATTCCGTCTCCTGTACTTTTCTTCATCTTACCCTTATTAGGTGAAAGTGAACCTTCTTCTTCTTCTTCTTCTTCATCATCATCACCCTATTCCGTTCCTCTTTTTTCTTCATCTTTCCCTTATTAGATGAAAGTGTGAACCTTCTTCTTCTTTTTTTCTTCTTCATCATCATCATCATCACCTATTCCGTCTCCTGTACTTTTCTTCATCTTACCTTATTAGGTGAAAGTGTGAACCTTCTTCTTCTTCTTCTTCATCATCATCATCATCACCCTATTCCGTCTCCTGAACTTTTTCTTCATCTTTCCCTTATTAGATGAAAGTGTAAACCTTCTTCTTCTTCTTCTTCATCATCATCATCATCACCCTATTCCGTCTCCTGTACTTTTCTTCATCTTTCCCTTTATTCCTCTTCTTCTTCATCATCATCATCATCATCACCCTATTCCGTCTCCTGTGCTTTTTTCTTCATCTTACCTTTTATTAGGTGAAAGTGTGAACCTTCTTCTTCTTCTTCTTCTTCTTCTTCTTCTTCTTCATCATCATCATCATCATCACCCTATTCCGTCTCCTGTACTTTTCTTCATCTTTCCTTATTAGATTGTGAACCTTCTTCTATTTCTTCTTCTTCTTCTTCTTCTTCTTCTTCTTCTTCTTCATCATCATCATCACCCTATTCCGCCTCCTGTACTTTTTTTCATCTTTCCTTTTTAGATGATGAAAGTGTGAACCTTCTTCTTCTTCTTCTTCTTCTTCTTTTTCTTTTTCTTCTTCATCATCATCATCACCCTATTCCGCCTCTTGTACTTTTTCTTCATCTTACCCTTATTAGGTAAAAGTGCGAACCTTCTTCTTCGTCTTCTTCTTCTTCTTTTTCTTCTTCTTCTTCTTCTTCATTTTTCAGTTATGGTCCTCTCCTTTTTCCCCTTTTTCCTTCTTTTTTAACTCTATTTATTTTATTACTTATCAATTTCTCATTTCTTCTTTTGTTTAATTTAAATTTTACGCTTTTCCCGATTTTTATTCATTCATTTTTTTCTTCTACTTCTTCTTTTACATTTTTTCTTTTTCTATTTCTCCTTCTTCTACTTCTTCTTCTTCTGCTGATTTCTTTTACTCTTTTTTCTTTAATTAAATCTCCGCTAATTTTATTCCTTCTTTTCATTTCTTCTGTTGTTTTTTTTCCTTCTTTTTTCCATCTTTTTTTCTTTCTTTATTCAATTACATTTTTTTTTAGCTTTCTCTAAGAATCTTGTTTTTATGTCCCTATTTTGATTTTTCATCTTCTTTCACTTATTCTTTCATTCATATCACTCAATTTTCTTTCAGAATATAGTTGCTTCTTTTCTCATTCATTCACTTCTTACTTTTGCTTTTTCTTCTTCATCCTATTTTATATTCTTCTTCTTGTTTTTACGCCCTTCATCTTTGTTATTTTTTTCACTTTTTTTTTTTTTTTTTGCCTTCTCTTTTACTGTTTTCTATTTTTCTTCTTTTCTTTCATTTCCTTGCTTTTCCTTTTTTCCTCTAATTCAGCAGTTTTTTATTCCTTCGATCTTTCCTTTCCTTTCCAAAGCATTTCCTAATTCTTCGTTCTTACTTCTCTTTCTTCTTCTTCACAGCTTGTCTATATATCTCTTTCAACAGGTCACACACACACACACACACACACACACATATATATATATGTATTTAACGTGATTAATTTTGATTCTATGATAAAAGTTGTTAAATCGGCTTGCATTGAAGATGGAAGAAAATAAGGACAATTTTGACATATTAGAAACAAAGAGAGCGCCAGTATGTTCGACTTTGAGGCGGTTGGATATACAACAAATCAATAACGTTTAACAACCATTAAAACACTTCAAATTTAGGGAAAAAACACAATTTGTGATTAAATTACGATCTCGTCAAAATATCCTCCTTTAGTCTTGATTATTGCAGCATACATTTATGGCATTCTTTGCAAAAGTTTCTCAAAGTATGTTTGATAATTGCTTCCATTTTTAAAACATTTCAACTATTCGTTTTTTTACACAATATATATCCATATCTATCTATCTATCTATCTATCTATCTGTCTATCTATCTATCTGAAGGGTTCCTCAGATGAACTACAACGTCCACTTGTCCGTGTCCAAAGTGAGTCACCTTGTTGGAGAACATCGACTGTGGCCTAACCTGGATCAAAACGGCCAACGTAGGAGGCATGATGAACACACCAACAAAGAAATTTTCGCCTGATCGATTTCAGCCCAGGGTATCATACACGGCCGCAACAGATGGCACAGACTGGTGAACAGCTCTGCTGAGTTAAGCCAAGTTTATATATATATATATATATATATATATATATATATATATATATATATATATATATATATATATTAAAAAAAGTTTTGCCGCAAACGTTTTTGGTTGTAATGTGGATTTATTGAGAAAAAATATTATACTTTGTTTTACATAATTTCACGACACCTGTTTCTGGTCTGGTCTCGCAACCGTCTTCAGGTGAAAGTGGAGATTTTTACATATTATTAAAATAATTAATTTTCTTCATGTTCAATGTGGAATATTCTCGATATGAGACATTCTGTTTGTGTGTTAGCAACTGAATTTTCTTTCTAGAATTTTCAATGAAGAGTTCTGCGTGAAGGGTCAAAAAACCAGACCAGAAACACGTGTCGTGAAATTATGTAAAACAAAGTATAATATTTTTTCAATAAATACATTACAACCAAAAAACGTTTGGCACCCTCTTCTTTTTAATATACATACTTTTCTCTCGTTGGAACCACTACAACATATTTCTTTTATATATATATATATATACATGCGCTCCAAAAAACAATAACTCATTTTCAATAGCATTTCGGATACAACAATATATATATTTTCGTTGTCCTCTTATTACTAAGAGAAAAAACAAGAACAACATCTATTCTATACCTGAAGATGTCTGTAGGAACAGACGAAAGCTTGTAGTAAAAATAAGAACTAATACGGCAGAAATTTATATAAACAAAGATCATTTCATTCATAACGGATACGGAGGTTTTTGTATATTATTTGAATTGTTTGCGATGATGGATGTCTCGCCATTTAAATCATTAACCTTTGCATTAGTTTTTGTGTGAATAATTCATGTATTTGTAAATTGATTGCACGTTTATCGTTTATATATATATATATATATATATATATATATATATATATATGATGGAATAAATTACAGATATTATGTTTGCTAACTTTTACCAAAATCTGTTCATATTCACGAATAACCTTCTGTATATTGATATTAAAGGATGAGAGAAATTTGCTATAGCTGTTTAAATTTCATCTATTTTCATTTCCCAAGTACTTTCGATTTAAATATCCATAGCACATTTCTCTCTTCCTTTTACTTGATGATACACGGAAGGTTATTCGTGAGTATGAACAGATTTTGTTAAAAAATTAGCAGACATTGTGACTGTAATTTATTTAATCAGACATGCCTAAAAGAGAATTTGCTGCGTAAACACAAATACACATATATATATATATATATATATATATATATATATATATATATATATATATATATATATATATATATATATATATATATATATATATATATTCGATATCACAAGAATATGGGAACGGGTGATTTGCAAGATAGAAATTTGGTCAGCTTTAATCAGTTTAAAGTCAGGAAAATGAATGCAAATTTTTAAGGCAGGCATTACTTGATATATATATATATATATATATATATATATATATATATATATATATATATATATAAAGAAAAGAATAGTAAGATATATAATCCGGTGTTCTTCTAGATATTTTTATTTTTACAAAATAGTGCTCAATGTAAATTTACAAAGCATTAATATTATAAATTAATTGATTTAAAATATGTTTTTTTTTCGCTACACAGTTCTAACCATGTTTCAAAAATAGAAGCTAAAAGCTCCGAATTTAATTTTGTAATTAAATTAAAGACATTTGTTCCATTTCATCCTCAACCGACTTTTGGAGTAACTTTTAAAATTACTGGGTTTTAAAGACACAGCAAAAATCATAATTCACGTTTCCAAGGATACAGAGAAATCCAATTCAACCAGACAAGGGGTGTCTGCGTATTCATTATGTCTTTATTTTGATGTATCCGTTATTAGTTACGTTTTGGTAGGGGGTAGGGTTGTATTTTTCAATGAATTCTGACATCCGTTAAATTTAGGACAATGACGGCAAAAATAGCTAATTAATTACACTGATTTAGTAAACTTTTATTTTTATATAAAGCTAATAATATATTGTTTCTCATGTAAGTACAAAGGACATGGGTCATTCAAAAGCTTACATCTTCTAGCATTTCATATTAATTTCATTTTACTGTAGGTGTTTTATTGGATTCTTTTAAGTGCTTGCAGTACTTAGAGGGAGGTCCTTAGGTTAGAATTCGTTTTATTTAACTACAATTTTAAATACACCTTTAAAATATTTAACTACAACTTTAAAATATTTAACTACAATTTTAAATGCAACTTTAAAATATTTTAAATACAACTTTAAAATATTTTCACTGTTAGTTTTAATAGACTATAATTGTTCTTGGAGAGAGAAAAAATTTATAATGCATCAACATATGTGTACATATCTGTGTGTGTGTGGTGGGGTCGCATTACTATTAACGTTTAGTTTAAGCAGTCTAATTGATGCCTGGGTTTTCGGGAGTCTTAAACTGGGTGTGTTCTTCGGCAAGGTTCGAACCTGCATATGGAAAACTGCCCTATAGCCCAGGGTGCTTTTAAATCACACAGCCAAGATGGACATTCGCGGAGTCAAATTATGTCGGATTATCGATAAATTTCAATGAATCCCATAGAATTTACTTTTCCTATATGGATTCTCGCGTCGTAAACCAACGCATGAGTATTCTGTCGATGAGTCCTTTCCGAAGAGTCCAATTCTAGAGCCACAAGCCCTATTGCAAACGCTGCACTGATAAAGAGAGTTCTGTGTTCTACTGTTGGAATTCCTCTTGGCACCTTTCTCAATGGGGAGACTGGTACAGGATGATATGCACCTGAATTTCTTTTTTTTTTAGTCAGAAAGGTTTCTGCATTCCTAGACCTCCTCTCTTGTCGAATGCACGCCTTCTGCTTTCTGGTACAGAGGCTGCCACAAGATAAGCTACATGCAAGGAAGCAGGTTATATTTCGGAGTGACCTTCTCCTAAATAAGATGAATTGCAAGAATCCAGAGACCCTATCTGCCAATCAAGTTTTCAAGTTGGCCGTTGACTTGCTAGGAACTCTTCCGCACTTTGGCAGGTCTTGTTTTTGTCCTGCTGGGTGACATGCCACCCGCCTCACCAGTATCCACTGGTGGCGGAGCCAGTTTAGACGCCGACCACCCGTGCATGTGGCAGATTGTACGAGAGAAAAGTATGTATATTAAAAAGAATAGAAGAGAGCAACACACAAACAGAGAATGTCTCATATCGAGAATATTTAACATTGAACATAAGGAAAAAATTAATTATTTTTAATAATATGTGGAAATCTCCGCTTTTACCTGAAGACGGTCACGAGACCAGAAACACGTGTCGTAAAATTATGTAAAACAATAAAATTATATAAAAAAAAGCATAATATTTTTTTCTAAATAAATCCATATTACAACCAAAACGTTTGCGGCACCTCTCTCTCTTCTCCTTTAATATATATATATATATATATATATATATATATATATATATATATATATATATATATATATATATATTATTTAACGGTATTTTTAGTGGATACCTATTGTTGAGTAGACACCCTGTTTATTTATTAAACAGTATTCGGGAAATCTCATTAAGAAAAAAACTCTATTCAAATTTCTTGGCTGAGACGGCCTAAGGCAACTCTGATCGAATGATGATTTCTCATACTAAGGAGAACGCAGTTTCGAATCCAGCCGGAGGCTGCATATTTTTCTTTAATAAGATTTCCCTACCATTCAAAACGGTAATCGAAAATAAATAAATATTTCTGAATAAATAAACGGAACCTTTACTCAAATATGTGTATCCACTAAAAATAACGTTTAAGTAATAACATCTGTTGGATTAATCAATACAAATCCATACTCAGAACTACCTCCCTTGCGTCTTAGTGGCTTTATTTCCTTGCTTGGCGTGAAATGATTAAAAATAGACCACTCGAGTACGAGGCGCTTCATAACGAACCAAAGTAAAGTCTACCTTACATTTAAAGTCCTACATCTGCCAGTTATATATATATATATATATATATATATATATATATATATATATGTGTGTAGGTTTCATTAAAGACGACTGACAACTTTTAGCCATTATCAAAGATGAATATTATTTTTACTTTTAACTGAATGTATCGATTGTTTTTTTATATATATCTAGAGTTATAGAAATGTTTTATTTTCCAAACACGGTCAGCACATTGTGGCAGTGTTCATAGTTGATATCATTGAGCGTTGGTTTTTTTCTTTTTTGTTAATAATGTTTCCATTATTTTTAGCCGTTTTTTTTTTTTTTTTTTTTTTTTTTTTCACGTGAATGAGGCTATTATATCAACGAGTAGGTTGCGTAGAAGTTCTGTACATTCATAAAATATTCCATACATTCAGCTAAAAGTAAAAATAAAATTCATACTTGATAATGGCTAAAAGTATAAACGAAAGGCTCGGACGTACAAAACATTTGGACATTTTTTATGTAATGATTTAGGTCCAGAAAAAAATATAAGAATATATGAAAAATTAAATAAAAAATCTTAACCACATTACCTTATCAATAGTTTTAACGAATGTTTTTATAAAAGAAGGCTAAAAGCAAATACAGAATCTCTATCTATCTATCTATCTATCTATCTATCTATATATATATATATATATATATATATATATATATATATATATATATATATATATAATATATATACCCACGTTCGATGTAAAACTTAACTTTCGTTGTTCTACCAACTCATCGTAGGTATATATATATATATATATATATATATATATATATATATTAATATAGATTTCTTTAGCTCTATTCAAGGAATTGAGCACTGTTTTGTT